GTATGTATATATATGAAATAAATGTATTGCATGTATATCAATGGTATAGCCCTTTTCGCGTACAAATTTGTACACATCCGCGTTCATACCCGATGCCAGTGGCGTATAACCGACCAGAAGTACCCGCTGACGATACTCAGGGTCATCTCATTCGATCTTAACGCGGTCCCTCTAGCCAAGGCAAGCACCTGCACGACGGGGTCTTCCATGTGCATGCTAAAGCTGCGCGCGAACCCGCTGTGCCGACACTCACGCACCGTCCTGTGTGTAGTGCACGGAGTTGTGATTATTATTCTGTTCATCTGTGTGTGTGTGTGTGTGCACATGACTATAGTTGATTCGGTGTCTCTATCAATCTATAAGTATGTGTTCATTTGTAAGGCGGCCTGTGCGTGTATAAGGAACACATGGAATATGGGAGCTTCCAGTTATATGCGGGAGTTGTAAGCGTACTATCTCAGCCTAAAATCGCGCGTAATCCCGCCTGTAGTGAACGGACGTGTATGTGTGAGTATGTTGAATTCTACAATAGTGTATGTGTGTGTGTAGGTTAAGAATGAGCATAGGCATGGTATGTCTGCTAGTGTTTGTGTGCGAGTGTTCGGTCATATATACAGTTCAGAGTGTAGTGAAGGTTGTGCATGAGTGCATATGTAGATTTCCTGTGTGTGTGTGTGTGTGTGTGTGTGTGTGCAATATCTGAATGTAGGTTGGTATCTGCGAGTGAATATGTTGTGGTGGGATAACTTGTAAGTGCTAAGCTAATTTTGGATACTTTTTTTTTAGCGTACACGTGGAATATATCTTCACTTCTCGTCTGTATGGAGTGCAATCGTGTGCACATATAACATCTTGCGTGTCTGACAGGCTTGTCTGAGACTTTGGATTGTACCAAAGACTGCAGGTGCGGTACGAACGGGCATAGAGATGAATGCTTTGGGTGCCTTTGGGTACATACAAGTAGAATCAGACATGCACGAATGGAATTTGGGGTTGAGTCGTATACAAAACTACACACGCAAATGTACGAAGCGACATATGGGAATAGTGACTCACGAACTGAATACAAGATACGTAAAAGCGGCGCCAGCTGAAAACAGAATCCAAATGAGTCAGAGGTGAATCCTGCAAATACGCCACACGCCCAAACATACACCCACAGATACATCAGATGTGTCACAAGGTCGAGAAGGGTGTATACACACTTGCGACGACAAGTTGACATACACATCGAGTAGCTCATTTATCATGTGGATGGTAGGAACCATCTGCTTCTCGCGTAGAGACAGGATCACTTGGTATGCCTCCTGCTCCCAGTTCGATCTGATGCATAGTTTGAACAGCTGCACGTGTAGGTGGAAACTATCCGCCACGGCGGTTTTGCTACTCACCCTGCGATGGGTGCATGTATGTTATCATAAGTCTCATTGTGAAGTGGCTGTATATATTCATGTATTTGATGGTTTATAGCCTGTTAAATAGGACAGTGAAGCGGCTTGGCGTTATAGTATACAACGGGAAGGGATATAAAGCGCTCGGATATGTTTTAAATATTGTGGTACAACAGAACGTGCTTCATGCCAGTATCCATGTACGTACAAGATAGGGTGTGAGCACCCATTGCATGCCTCACTACATACATATACGTACATGTCATAAATATATATATGGGTTTTACTCCAGAAGTAGAACAGGTATATTTCTGTATCAACCAACACAACATACGGCAAGTCCAGCAGGCATCGGATGTACTGTGGCTCGACCGTCCTACCGGGCGAGAAGTTCCGCAGCCGCTGCAGTACCCAACGAAGCACATAGGTGTTGTTGAGCGCTGCTATCTCACCCAGAACCGCAATCACTTCATCTGGCGTAGCTGTGATCCTGCCCTTGTTTGTTCCTAATCTACTTATGAACATGTCCTGTACATGCGCATATGTTGAAAAGACATCAGTATCATACTGACATATTGAAAAAATGAAATGACAGGTGAAGGCCAATGAATATATGTATGAACTTTTATAAATGAATGTGTAAACATGTGAGTGTAAATGTGGATCTATCTGGCACTTTTTATATATATATATATATATATACTATAGTATATATATATATATACTATATNTATA